AACCCTACACTGGCGAACGACATTCCTTCATCGCCTACTCTTCAGGGGGGTACCAGAAGTTCAACAAAAAGCAAAAGCAATTCCTACATCAAGCGCAGTTCCTCTTGCCTACGGCTCAGTTGAAGCTCCCAGCTCAGAAGGCAATGGTTTGTTTGAGGTGTGTTGGTTCCCCTCTCGATGAGGGGGGTAGGCTTAACAAACCGTGTTCTCGTTTCGAAAATGATTCGTTTGCACACACATCGCTCGAGTGCACAAACACACAACAAACTGCAAGCCTTGACCATGAAATCTTGGCTTTCTTTATGTGCACGCCTGCCATTGCAATTTCAGCTGGTTCTGATCTTCTCGACTTGCCCGAAGCGACTTCTACGATCCCCAAGATGGCAGCCATCGTTGTGAGCGACGAGTTCTGCAGGGTCAACACCTCCGAAGCAGACAGGAATGGGGTTACCAAGGCCATGAAAACCATTCTCCAATCCGCCGCCCTCAACAACGATATCATTTCGCTCGGCGCCGATCATGAGAGCCAGCTCTTGGAGTCGGCGTACAGCTGCGTATCCACACAATGCGCGGCTGGGGTATCCTTGACCCATGCCGACGCAACCTGTGTGGCTCTGCGCCAGATGGCTGACCTCAGTGACGAGGGACTCGCCAAGTTGAAGCCAACCGCAAGGTTGAGCCCCAAGGCCAAGCGAGCCATCATAGTCGTGTCAGACAGCTCCACTGCACTTTGCAAGAAGAACAGGCGGGGAGTGTTCGTTAAGGCCGACTTGGATGCGGAAGTGAACATCGCAAGCTTTACGCTGGGATGGGCACAGACTCGCTATACCATGTGTTGGGGTAAAACCTTGGCGTGGATTGTCTGGCAGGTCGAGGAGCATGTGAAGGAGCTCAGGAGCAACTATCCGGACCACACCATCGACATAATCTGCTGGTGGTGCGGGAACGAGATCTCCGGCCAGTGGGGCTGCATCCCCACGCGGCTAGGACCGGGACTCGCCTACAGAGATCCCAATGTCACAACGGAGACCGTCGCACGGAAAGTGAGAAGGGCAGCGGATGTTTTAGCCGCCCTCGCGGGCGAGCCGGACATTGGTTTTGTGAAGGTGATTGGGCAGGTGGAGGCGGACTTGTTCCAACTCCACTCAGCCTACAACGACTTCAATGCCGCTATGTTCGAAGAGTTCAGGCAGCGCGGTCTGCAAGTGCAAACCGCAAGCTCCTTGGTCGAAAAGCTGGAAATGTATGACAGCTTTCACGCCAGCGAAGACCCTCGCAACCGCGAGTTATTCCAGACCTACTTGCATGCGACTATCAATGCAAGCAGGAGCGAATGGCTTGCCCAGAAGATGGCACCCTGTGTCAGGGCTTTGCTTGTTCGCTATGAGCACTTTGAGACTGGCTCTGATGCCAACAATCCAGTGCTCGAGGATGTCTTCAAGCAGTGGCGTGCAGAGAAGGACCAGCTGATGAACCCGAAACAGGCCAAGCCAATGCCGGTCACCCAGGAGGACAAGATGTGGGAAGCCCCAGATGCCGCTGACGCAATCGACGTCAATAAGATCTCCGAGGGGCCACCCATGGATAAAGCCATCCGCAAGGATGTGCCAAGGATCGGTGCAACCACGGACGTCAGTGCTGTGGCGGAATGCGTCAATGACATCGTCACCCAGGACGCAGACGGCAAGGTGTCCTACAACACCCCGGGCACGGTGGAGCTGGTGGACGAGGGCGACCAGGTCGACCCTATCCCCTCATCGATTGGACGTGTTGTTGAGCCAGCGCCTCCGAAGAAGACTAAGAAGTCTGATCGAGACGAGGATGCCATGCGAAGGCTCATGTTCATCGATGAAAGCGCCCCGCAAGGGGCTGCCACTGTGCCAGAGCTTCCAAATGAGTACTTCTACAACGGCAAGAAGCACTTGATGAAGCCCTTCAACCCGGAGGACATTGTAGGAGACAGGCACGTGACATTCAAACACGGAGACCTGAAGTTTCTCACCAAGCTGCTGCGTGGCCATGAAATGGACGACTTCCCTGCATTGATCTTTGACCGTGGGTGCTGGACAGATGTTGACACTCTGCTCCAGGTCTTCAACACGGCACGGGGCGCACGCTGGGGTGTGAGGCAGCTGCTACGCGCAGCGAAAGCCGATAATAAGGGACGGATCAGACTTTTGGGCATTGACGTCCCAATGAAGGACACCCTGGGTCAACCGCTATTCCCTGTCAGAGTGAGGATGGCCCAAGGGCATAACTCCAAGCTCATCGGCAATAACCCGGACGCGGACTTCTTCCTTGCGACCAGGTTCTACAGCGGATTGTCCGAGTACGAGGCCGACCTGCAGAGCAGCGTCAGGGGGGTCACTGTGCTCTCCCGCGAGGATACCCCCCCAAAGCTCTTCCACCGCACGAATGAAAAGGGAATGAAGGGTATCCTCCGCGATGGAATGATCGCCGGCTCTGCGAGGTCAGACAGGTCCCACAACTACCTGTCCCCGTACAAGTTGGACGACACCCACTACAAGAGTGGAATGCGCTCCAACCAGCCGATCGAGCTGACGATAGACACGCAGCGAGCAATCGCCGCTGGATGCGTTTTCTTCGTCACGGAGACCGACGGCGTCCTCACACGGGACAATGTGCCTCCCGATTGCGTGCTGTCCGCCATCGACACCAGCAAAAAGAACCTCCCGCTTTACGTCGCCGAGCACAAAGAAGCCGCCCGCGAGGGTGAGCCAGAGCGCATTTTCCGCGCAAAGCGCGACTATGAGGAGGCCGCAGCAGCAAGCTCATCATCGGCACCGCCCCCAAAACAGGCGGCTATCGCTCCCAAAGCGATTGCTTCAAAGAAGATGCCGAAGGTGGTTCCCAAGCCCGCCGCAATCGCCGAAAAGGACGAAAGCATGGACTTGGATGAAGCCACCCGCGAGGGTGAGCCTGCTGATGCTGCTGGTGCATTCGACCTTGACGAAACCAAGGTTGAGGTTGAGGTCGAAGTCGATGAAGGCGATACAACGGATGCGGGTGAGGATGAGCCGTACCCACTTGGCTCTCACCCATGCCGCGAGTGCGCAGCAGTCGTTGCCAATGGCATGCTGTTCTGCCTCCGTTGCAAGGCTCCCCAGACGGATGACTCCAAGAAAATCACAAAGCGAGTCTTTGAGAATTCGAGACTCCGCCAGCGCCTTCTTGCCACCGCTGCGACTGGAGCCCAGAAGCCCATCGATGATCTCCTCGCGAGTGACCTTCGAGGCCTGGGCGAGGGACCAAAGAAACGTGGTCAGATGAGCGCGGAGGCCGCCGCCATTCGTGACGCCAAAGACCGAAAGATCAGGGCCGCCAAGTTGAACTTTGACACCGTGTCCGACCGCTTCGAGAAGGACGCACAGTTCAACGTGAGAATGATGCAAGAGGGCCGCAGCCTTGAGGACATGCAGAAATTCGATCACCTGTCGAACGCTGTGCTTCCCGATCCAGGACGCAGTGAGGAGCAGCGCTACTTGCGTGCTGGCTCCCATTATGGTGGTGGCAATGTCCCGCCTGCGAAGCTGGTCTATTATGCCCACTGCGAAGTGGAGCCGTTGAGGAACTTGCGGTTTATCGATGATACCGCGGATGTCCCCATCGGCTTGACCTACCTCGGTGCATTCCTCCCTCCGCGACTCTATGCTGAGGTGGCAGCAGTGAACGACGCTGCAAAAAGGATCCTGACTTTCGACGGCGAAGTCTATGTGTCGGCTACCACAATTGAAGGCATCACAACTGAGATCGGACAGATTCTTACCGATAGCCTCCGTAGTGCTCAGGACCAGACAGACCAAACGGAACGTCTGGCAGAGCGCAATCGCCAGGCTGCAGTCCAGAACCGCCCATCCCAAAAGGGACGTGGTCGCACGACAGCACCTGAGCCCATGTACAGAGGCTATACTCAGGCCCAGTGGGACGAGTACTATCGCCAGCGTCGTGGAGGTTACACTCAGGCCGAGTGGGATGCATGGAACCGCACCCATAGGCGCTGAGTCCTCATTCTGATTTGCTTCGGACCTGCAGGGCTTCCCCGTTGTGCTTTATAAATGCTCGCTTTGGCAAATTCCCAAATCCGTTGAAGCCCAGGGCAACCTGGAGCCATGTACTATCCGCCTTAGCTCGAGCAGCACGGCGAGGGGGGTGTAGATTTTACCCTGCCTCCATTGCTATTCCTATGGTCCTTAGCTATGTCTTTACGCGACCGCATTTGGCCCAAGTCCCCCGTGGAAAAAGGTCACAAGGGTTGACTGACCGGTAACTAGACGTGCCAAGCTGGTAGCCTGGGAAACTTCAAAAGACTGTCTCAAAGCCTAGTGTTCAAAGCCTTACCTTAGCCAAAGGCCCCAAAGTAGTTCCCTTTTTGGGGTTCGTATATAGAATCTTATTAGGTAATCCCGAAAAGGAACTACTTTGGGGCCTTTGGGTATCGGGTTCAGGTCAATTGCCCAGAGACTCTTCGGGTGTGTCGTTGTGCCACTACTAGCAGGCTCTTAGTTGGATACAGCAGCCTCAGGAAAAGTCTTCTTAAGCTTGAAGTAAATGCAAACACATACGCACATATCCTAAAGCCCAAAAGCAGAACAAGCATAAGCTGCCCTGGCATGTATCGCTGCTCATGTGGTGCACAACTCTCAAAAAGTGTGGTCCATGCAAACCCTACAATCTTGCACAAACACGAGAGACGAACCCTTGATCCGGGAGCCCTCAAACTTGAACCGTACGCCCTACGAGCCACGCATTTCTTCAATCTTAACCGTCTTAAACCTTTACACCCCTAACCTCAAGACCACAGAGTCTAAATATCATCACATGACCTCCAAGCCCTGGCTGCAATTGCGACATTTGGGGTTTCCGGAAATTAGGGGTACCTTAGTTGGAGTCCTTGCAATAAGGATCCTACTATTTAGGGTAGTGTATTAGGGTCCCCTATTTTCGGAAACTCCCGTTTAGGACTTAAACTTCAGGAATGGATGGGCATCGAATTGGACGAGAAGGCCAACATGGTTCTGGACACGGCAAGTTAGGTTTCTAAGAACTAGAATAGGTTTTTGGGTCATACCACAGTACCATGTTAGGGGCCTACTACTGCAGTTGCTGCTGCTGCTACTGCTACTGCTGCACTACAAGTACCACCAGCACCACCACCACTAATACTACTACTACTGCTACCACCACCACGACTACCACTACCACTACCACTACCACTACCACGACCACTACCACGACCACGACCACGACCACGACCACGACCACGACCACGACCACGACCACGACCACCACTACCACTACCACTACGACTACTACTTCTTCTACTACTACTACTACTAACTCATACTCGCTGTGGAGGTTGTTGGTGCAGGTTGGTATTTTAAAACCCACTATAGGCCTTGTAGCGACCATACACGCAGTAGGTGTTGGTAGGAAAGGTATAGTATAGAGGGTTCACTGTAATACAAAACGAAACCATTGCACCGGGCCCTTCGCTGGTTCAGGCGGGCAAGAACAACGGCTGCGTCAAGGGCAAAGCCTACTTTGATGCTTGGTATTGAAAACTTTATACTTAAACCCCAAACCCTAATCCCTAAACCCCAAATGGTGTGACATTTAGTTGGTGCTGCACAACACCTTAGGTCCCGTGCTACCGTCTGCCACTTTTCTCTACAGTCAGACCTCGCGAGCGGGCATAGATTTCCAAGCCATGCCAGAGTGGAAAAAAAAACCTAAACCCCAAATCCTAAACCCTAAACTCTAAACCGTACTTCTTCAGGCCTCGGCCCGCTCAACCCAAAAGCATACTCGAACGCTGAAAGTTAAGATCCTAAACCCTGAAGCCTTAAACTTTACCTTTGGTTAGTAGGGAATGGAGGAATGGGGTACAATTATAACTGATGATAACTGCTAGTACTACCATTCTTCCATTCCCTACTAACCTAAGGAAAGAAAAGCCTAGAACTACGCAAGCTACAGGCTTCAAGCTCTAAGCCTGTCAAATCCCAGACTGCTCAGGATTGCAAGCCGGACTACGGAATCTTCGTAAGGCCCACGGCCGTAGCGAGGATTCCTCCGGGGAGCAGAAGAAGGCCCGGGCTGCCACGCGGGCCTTGTCCATAAGAATAGGGCTCCTTTGTAAAGGGGTTCAGCAGAATTGCTATGAGGCTTCTAGGATTTGGAGGCTTTGATCATTACAATTCGGTTTGGATCGTATACTTATGATAAGGAGACCTCAAGCATAGTATTGATAATTATTCAGGCTTCTATACTAAACCCTGAACGAAGGCTGAACCCTAAACCGATGCCCCATACTTACACTCACCATTACACTGTAACCAAAGAAGGCCGCCATCATCCGAAATGTAGACTTAGACCACCTTCATCAACGCTGAGTGGCGAGCTCGGTCGCATTGAGCCGTGCTTTTGTTTTGGAAGAGGCGGCCTCCCCCCTGCGAGCGTGATCGATATTCGTTTAGGGTTTAGACAATTCACCCTGCCCCAAAGTCCGAAGGTCCCTAAACCCCAAAGTCCGAAGGCCCCTTAAACCCTCAACAACAAAGCCTTGAACCTCAACACACAACCCGACACCCTTAAAGACCACAGCCCTGAAGGTCTTCTGCAGTTCCGGATGCTGCGCTGCAGCCACCGTCCGCCCCAGCCTCGCCCATCAAGCAGGCGCTTCTTGGGCTGCCGCCGTCTCCGTCGGCTCCTCGACAAAACTAAAGGGCATACAGGGAACTACAGAAAGTTGGAATATGGAATAATGGCAGGATCCCCTATAATTTACCTTAAAGGGATTATGATAATGATATTCCAACTTTCCGGCCTCTACTGCAGGGTTTAGGGGTGTAGAAAGCGGTGCACCTTAGGGGCCTGAAAGGATAGAATAGGGTTTTGGGTGCTTGTTTATACTAGTCGTATCGGGGACTTTCGGGATATACTGCCACTGATCATATGGGAGTTTCCGAAAGTTAGGGGTACCTTATTTTGGGGTCCTTATAATAAGGATCCTACTACTTAGGGTACCACATTAGCGTCCCCTATTTCCGGAAACTCCCATGTCAGCCTTTCGGGCTTATCCCTAATATGATTTAAGGAATATTCCTTAATTAAAGGATATTAGAGTCTCCGGGGATCTATCAGCGACTGGCATGAGCTGAGGGACTTCGAGGGTTCGTCCAGTTCGGAGCAGAGGGTGGGGCCAGCCAAATGGAAAGTGGCTTAGGGCTTAGGCTCAAGGGTTTGGGCTAAAAGCTCCTAGAGCATACTAAAAGTGCAGCACAACAGAAGACGATGACTACCAATCACTCAAACCAAGAACCCATGTCGGTCATGCACTCTCCAGTGCCGCTCTGTCCGACGCTGAGGCGGCAGCAGCCGCAAGACGAAGCAGCCTTCGAAGCAGCAGGACACACTGTGAATCCTCAACCCCAGTTTAACAGCGAAAGCTTTCAAGCCCCAAGCTCCAAACTCTAAGTCGTAACCTGAGTTGTCCTTTGGTTCTTTTAATTTCCCCACTATTTTGTAGAGAACCATCATAGTAGATGTTTTTCAATTTGCTTAAAGGACAACTGAGTAACCCTAAGACCTTAAAGCCCTGACCTCGAACTAGATGCCTCGCCTGGATTGTCCGAGCGTGAGCGCCGAAAAGGCCCGAATCCTGATCAACCCGATCCTAAAGTCCCAAGTCCCAAATCCCCAAACCCATATGGGAGTTTCCGAAAAATAGGGGTGCCGTATTTTGGGGTCCTTATAATAAGAATCCTACTATTTAGGGTACCATATAACACCATTAAGAGGATTCCCTTTACATTACTCTTAAGGATTGAGGCTATGGTGTTTCCAACTTTTGGGCTTCTTCTTAGCCCTAAAGCCTCAAAGCACCTCGAAACCCTAAACCCGGACAGCTCTAAAGCATGCAAAGCATGACAACCCCCTAAGCCCTAAAGTCTACGATCCCATTCGTAGCTGCCACCTTCAGCAGGAGAGAGGAAGAAGGAGATCGTAGCCGGGAAATTCAGAAGGCCGGCGTGCAGCTGGAACTCGCTGAGGCTATGGAGGACTCTTGATAGAGCTAGGATTTTGACTTTGATTTTGACTTTGGGGTTTGTGGCTTTAGGGTTGAGGGGTTTAGGTCTATATAGAGGCCGCAAGTGCAGCCCTTCCGTCAGGCTTGACGTACCGAATGCCTGGGAGAGAGAGAGAGAGGTCTGAATAGAGGTTGGGGTTTGAGGGGTTAGGGTTGTGGTTTTTGGGGTTTTGTTTAGGGGTTTAGGGGCTGTAGGGATTTAGGACAAAATGCGCACTGGACGACCCCTAAAAGAAGGGTACAGGATTAGGGCGGTGGGCTCGTGGCCGAGGGCTTAGGCCTAGGCAGGCTCTGAGAGGTTTTTGAGGGTTTATCGAAGCGTCAGAGCGTGCTATAGGATGTGAGGGTTTAGGGGTTCAGGGTTTAGGGGTTTAGGGTTCAGGGTTTAGAGGGCTTCATCCCGATCACGAGGCGGTCATACGGCCACCATACTCGCTTCATCGTATTAGTTGGTTTATAGACAGGGGGTCTCACCTTGGCAGGTCAGAAGTTTCAGTTCATGTCTGTGTGGGAGTTTCCGAAAATAGGGGACCCTGATATAGCACCCTACATAGCAGGATCCTTATTTTAAGAACCCCCCAGATAAGGTACCCCTAATTTTCGGAAACTCCCGTGTGCTCTCAGCCCTTCTAGGACCACGATGTGGACTCTATTCGCCGCTTGCTGCCAGCTGCGCAAAATCTGGGCATTGCACGAGAAGAGATCGCAGCAGCAAAGCGGATATTGAGCTGGGAGCTCAAGCAGACCATGTGCCTTGGCTGTATTGGTACCATATTGCATGTAATGATGTTTACGTTACTTCTGGCATTGCACAGAAACTTGAATCCCTCAACCGTAAAAACTTCATACCTGACTCCGAAAAAGCTGTCTTTTCCAGGACAGAAAGGAGGATATCAACTTCAGGAAGTTTTTTGTGGTTCAAGCAAGCCCTAAATCCCAAACCCCTTTAACTGTTTAAACCTATGCAAACTCCCATAAAACCCAGAGAAACCCTACCCCAGGAAACTCGGAGCCCCAAACCCATCCAAACCCCACACAGCCCTAAAACCCTAAACCTCAAACCCTAAACCCGTAAACCCTAAACCCTAAACCCCAAACCGCTTGCAGGCAGATGGAAGTCAGCGCCGTCAGCAGGTCGGTCTCGGAGCTCTCGGAGGCTGTTTTGCGCCTGGAGGCGGGGCAAAGAAACCCTAAGCTGCTACACTAAGCCCCTAGACCTCCAAACCCCTATATAAGCCCCTAAACCCCAGGCTCTAGGATTTCGGGTTTGGGGGTTTGTAGAACCCGAAACCGCTACACTACCCAGAGGCCCCAAAGTAGTTCCTTTCTGGGATTACCTTACAGGATTCTATATACGAACCCCAAAAACAAACTACTTTGGGGCCTTTGGGTATGCCCTTAGATCTCCAAACCCCTAAACCCCTAAACGCTGTTGGATTTCGGCTTTGGGGTTTATAGGGTCTAAGTCTAGGGGTTTTGGATTGCGGATTTGGAGGCGCACGAGGCTTTAGGATGTCAGGTTTGGGGCTTGTCTTTGTTTAGGGTTTTGGACTGCGTAATTAGGGTCTATAGGACCTACCTATAGTCTCCTTTTTAGTTCCTTTTTGGGGTTACCTGTTCGGATCCTTGATATAGAATGGTTAAACTGTTAAACCAAAAAAGGAACTTCAATGGAGACTAAAGGAGGAGTGTAGGGTTTTGGGTTGTTGATCAGCACAGTCTGGGTTCAAAAAAGGGGTCGTGTGCCCGGAGGCGGTTTCGTCCAAGCCTGCCACCAGCTCAGCTGTGAGCCGTCTCGGTGAAGAGCTTGAGAAGAGAGAACCTTGGCATTATTTTTGCTGACCTTCGATTTGTAATTAGGGTCTGGGCATGTCCCGTTGGCATGAGTTCTAGTCGTCGTATGAGATCTGCCAAGGTATGGCAGAGTTTGGAGAGCAAGATCCATCAGATCGTAGACGGTGTTCTTTCGAGAGCTTCGAAAAGAGCTGGCAAGACAGCTTCACATCCATTAGAGGCCTATGGCTTCGAGCATTTCGATCTCAATGGCGACGGGATAGTCACCAGAGAAATTTTCGAAGAGGCTCGCAAGAAGATCATGGCAGGCCACCTCGGGGAGCCGAAGGCCACTGCCAGCTGCGAGCCCGCGGCCCTCCCAAGGCCCTCCGAGCCAAAAGCGACTTAGTAGCTGAATGGATACACTTTACACTTTTTGGGTTAGTATGACCCACTCTAAAACTGAAAGTGTACACTTGTGGGGGGCTTATGAACTCAGCAACTAAGGCTACAAAAAGCCTCATGCGATACCTCTACGCTCGCGCGGCGCGACGCGTGCAAACGCTGGAGAACCACGAGGCCACGCGCTTCGTGGTCGGAAGCTTGTTGAGCAGAGGAATGCAGAGAGCGCTCCTGCTCGGAGCCTAGGCTTACCATTGGGATATATGGGAGTTTCCGAAAATAGGGGGTACCTTATTATCTTATTTTGGGGGTCCTTATAATAGGGCGGTTGTCAAAATCATGGCCCCTTTTTTGGGTCCCTAATATAGTACGGCACCTAATATTTAGGGTACCCAAAAAGGGGCCATAATTTTGACAACCACCCATATACATATATATATATATATATACACACACATGATACTAATAGTACTGAAATAATAGTACTTTGTCAAAATATGTCGTTTACTTGGGTCCTGAAGGATCTTACTTCCGATTTTCTGCCAGAGGGTTGCATTACAATGGCCAACCTACAGCCTCAGCCCGACGCCCCGCAAAACCATCCTAGACCCTGGGCCCTGCAACCACCTACCGTTTTAGGGTTCCTTATTAATGTAAGTCCATAAAAAGGTAGGTTCTTCAGGGTCTAGGTGGGCCCTGCAACCTGACGCTCACCTAGGACCTGCATCGGATGCTTTGGCCGAAGCAAAGCGAGACATCGCAGCCATTCGGGCGTCCAGGTTGCGGAGCCACGGATGGACAATGGCCATAAGGGCGTTTGCGTGTAAGCTTGTCAGGAAAATGATCGAAAACGTACAGAGAGTTAGTTTCCGGGTTGAGGCCATGGGTTCAAGGTACGTGCACGGGGGACATGCGTAGATGTAGTACAACTACAGCTACCTTCCCTATATAATCTGACCCGACATCCTAAACTCTAGACTAACCATGGGCTCCAAAGTAGATCCTATAAGGTTCTATATACGAACCCCAAAAAGGAACTACTTTGGGGCCTTTGGGTAACCGTACTTACGAAGTTCTCTGATTTTCTTCGACCCAGGATCGAAGATGCGACGAGGAAGGCCGAGGAGTTGGTTCATGCAGCTTCTGGGCTCTTGTTTGTAGCATTTACTTTAAGTAAACAAATAAGGAATAATAACAAATAATAATAATAATAGTAATAATAGAAGTAGTAATACTAATAGTAATAATAATAATAATAATAATGACAGTAATAATAATTACTATGGATCCCTATGATGATAATTTGCAGTAAATTCCTTAACAAGAACTGCAGGCTTCAACCAGGGTGCAGGCCGCCGCGCGTGGGCGACTGGTCCGTCGCGAGAAGGATCTTGTGAAGAAGAGTACCTCGACCCGGGTTTTGGGTGTGGGGTTTTGGGTTTTAGGGTGTTTAGAGTTTTGGGGTTGATTTTGCATGCCAAAAGTCTGAGCGTTTATACCTGAAAAAAATCCTTACTCACACAAGGCGCTCAAGTACGGGCATGAAGCGGGCTGTTGATGGGGCAGAGTCCGACCGAGGAAAGCATGAATGCCTTCAAGGTTTACAGAGAAAGCTTTGGGTCCGTAGACTACCTTAAGTTAAGTAAGCCCTACACACCTGGTTGTAGAGCAATCCAACAGGCACCATCACTCTTCAGCGGGCCCTTCGTCGGCTGAAGCACCGGAGACAAGGCAAGAAGGTCGACTTTTCTGCGGTGGTCGCGGCCGCCACAGACCAGCGAAAGGAGTGGGCCGTGGAGTAGCTGGGATGATTTTAGTGGTGTTGGGTTTAGTGTTGACGGTTATCTTTTTGCCTCAACCCCCGGATAGCCCTTAACTGCCGAAGCTGCATGCATAGGGAATAGCCCGAGAGCCTTCTGAGTCTAAACATGTTCGTTGGGCGCAAAGCTTTGCAACATGACCCTTTAGAGGGTTTGTGTATAGGTGAGGCACGTACCTCCCGAGATGCCCTAAACCGACATGGCTATTCAGGCCTCTAACCTCTACTCTACAGTGGGGTGCCCATAGCCCTTGTCTTGGTTTGGCATAGACTTTGAGTATGCTGTAGGTTTCTGGTTTTGGTGGGTGTTCGGGTTCTTGCTTGGGGCAGTGATTTGACTGGGGACAAAAAATTGCAACCGACTCCCCAGCCACGAATGCTATGTGGATGCTTTATTGTGGGTGACCCTAGTAGCACTGAGCCAGCAAGCCAGGTTCGAAAGAGCCGCTGTCGATGGCACGCTGCAGGAGTGCAGCTGTAGTCAACTGTTGCTCCGACGATACCCTGCCTTGTCCTTGCTAGGTGGTTGCTAGGTGGGAGGGGAAAATACCCCAAACCTTAATGCTTAAGACCCATTAACATCTTGCGAGGAGCACGCCTTCATAGAAGCTTTGCTCCGATCCTGTCCGATGAAGGTGGGCCTTGTTCCGTTTAGGCTTGATATTTATTTGGGGTTTAGGTGAGGGCTAGAGGCTTGGGGTTTAGGGTCTAATCTTAATTTTCTTGTGAACTGCAGCGGTTTATGTGGCCCAACAGGATCTTCAGAATCAGGGTTTTCGCACATCTCGATGTTCCTTCATCGAGGGTCTGAGCATTTGTAGTTACGTAGTAGTGTTATGCGTTGTTCCCAATATACGTAGAATGTGTATATGTATATGTATATATATACATATGTATATATATATATATGTATATAAGCTATGTGTATATGTGATCCCTGTTTATATATTAACAACATTTACCGTTGCTTAAAAACATGTGTGTATACACAACCTTAAAGCAGCACTTGTATCAATGCTCAAAGGTCTAATCTTCCCATGTCAACTGCTGGCTTTTCTGCTGCTGTTCAACGCCCAATGAGTCCTCTAAAACAAGCCCTCAACCTTAAAGCCCTAAAATCCCTGACCCCTAAACCCTAAAAGCTTGAAGCTCTAAAAACAAATCAGCTTGTGAGTTCTTCGAAGTTGGCCTCGCCTAAGCATCGGGCATCAGTCGTACTCGCAGTTCGCATGGGACACTCCTTGGGGGGGTACCCGACGCCCAACCTCGGGTTTGGTGCTCTGGTGGGATCTAGGGTTTAGGGCCCCCCACATCCTAAGCCCTGTGCTCTAAACCGGCTGTTGCCCGCAACCCTGAACCGACCATTAACAAAAAGTGAGTACATGCCCACTATATCCCAGGTGAAGCACCCGGGCTCATCAAGCTACCAAGACATGTTTGTATAAGGCCCCGGTAAGCCCTGCTAACTAAAGACACTACAACAGGGAAGGCTCATGGCAGTTTTGTTCGCTTAGTCGAGAGACCGGATCTTGTTGTCAGATTAGTCGGACAATTCCCTCGTTCAGGGCTAGTTTTTGAGTGCCTGGGTACTGCTGCAACCTGGTGAGGCCTCCGAGTTCCCGGAAAAACGGCCCTAGACTCTAAACGCCAAACCCAGGGACTCCAATACCCCTTAATTAAGGAATATACCTTGAATCATATTAGGGGTCCTACTATAGTTTAAGGTATGTTCCTTAATTAAGGGATATTGGAGTCTCTGGGAACCCCAAACCGTACCTTCCCAGCCAGGTGTCGCAGGTCCAGGCCGAGAAGTTGTGGGCTGGCTTCCTGGAGCACAGTGACTCATCGATCTGGTTGGCCCTGAGCCTTAGGCAGTTTTCAGTGTTAGGGTTTGGGGTTGAGGGTGTGGGGGAAGGCATTTTGTTCGAACCCGATGTGGAGAAAGGATCACAGTTTGTGGATGAAATGGAACTATTTGCTATAACCCTAGACCCTAAACAGCCCAAACCCGACTTAAAGGGTTCAGGGTGCCACGCCGTGGCTATCGGGCCCAGTGCGGGGGGAGGGGTCATGTGCTGCTACACAGATCCATAGTGCCGCCTCTCGTGCTTGGGATTGAGAGTCTGTGGGGGCCTGACTCAACTAGAATCGGGCTGGAGGGCATGTTGTAGTATGAGTATATTGAGCTATAACAGTAAACTATGACTACATAGTTCGGGGTTTGCTTACGGTTTGAGATTGTATGTTGTAGTCTGAGTATATGAGAACTATGAGGGGATATTATGACTATATACAAAGCTTGGGCCGTGCCTCGGGCTTGAGATTTAGGCATTGCTTCTTGTGGGAGCAAATGCAACAAAAGGAAAGCATGAGTACGGTGTACTGTTAGAGATGGAGATAGGTATACCTATACAGTTACAGAAAGATAAATGGATATATAGATGTAGACTTCGAGGTAATTAGAATACAGATATAGAGACGGGCATAGATATAGACCTAGGTTTTAATGTTTGTATAGTGTGATAGGTCTAGATCTAGGGACGTAGATACAGAGATAGGTACAGATATAGATGTCGGATACAACACGCGTACCGATAGTTTGCGCGTCATAACATTCGAAAGCCCAGAATCATAAGTCAGCTCATGCGCTAAACCCACATGAGGCCGACCCGGAAAGCAAAGGCAGCTGTTACCTAATACCCTATAAATCCTAACCCCCAAAACCTTAAGATCCTAAATAAGGTTTAGGGTTTAGGGTTTAAAACGAGAAGGCCCTGCTGTTGAGGAGTGTTCGCTGACACACAATCCAAGCCCATGCTGAAAAGGGTAAACCCTGAAAACAGCCGAGGTGAAGTCCCGGGGCCCATGGCCATCACCACTTTCTGGGCCATCTGCGAGGCAGTGGAGCAAGGCGACGAGCTGGCAGCCGACTTTGCAGCCTGGCCTTCGTGTACTACAGGGGCCTTTATAGTTAGAGTAGGGTTTGGTCAAGGTTTGGGGGCATGTTATCCTAGAGGTCTAATAAGGAGCCCCATAACAGAGGCGTCTAAAAGATTACCTTGTGCTATTTTGGTGGTTCCTTCTGCAAGAACAGTATAACATACCCCAAAACCCTAGCCACCTAGTCTAATTATGAAGGCCCAGAAGTAGGGAACTGAGGCTTCTTCTATGGGGCTGGGGAGGTAAGCTGTAACGTTTTGGGGTCTATCCAGTCGAACTATATAGCTGTCTATCTACTTGTACATATACATATATATATATATATATATATATATTTAAGAGAAAGAGAGAGAGAGAGAGAGAGAGAGAGAGAGAGAGAGAGCATGCATAACCCCTATGCTTGTACTTCTAGGGTACTTAGCCCCAAAATAAACTAATCAGGGCCTGGAGCAGTAGTAAGTTAGTTCCTTGCATTTCAAGAACTACGTAGTGTATGCATGCACATATGTAGAAACATGTTCACATGTATTTGTATGGTTCGGTATATAGCTAGCATGATCTACAAAGCCCTACGTAGTCGAATTCTCTAGCCCTGTATACAAGGATTCAGCGGGGCGTGTGCCTTCGAACATAGTGGTTGTTTCTTTTAGGTGGCCCGCGAAATGCTTCCATCAGCCCTGCTTTGCTCAGGCGGACATGCCGGTGGAGGAGAATCTTGACTTCGCGTTGGAAATGTGTTTTCGGCTTCTTTTGATACAAGCAGGGCATACCAAGTCGTCCTATCTCCATCGTCTGCTCTAAGAAGAGAGAGCGCATGTACCGGAAATCCTCAAACTTGCAATCAAGCACACTACCCTGAAAGTTCCTGCGACAGGTATGCTTCCTATGGCAGCCAAGCAACTCCCCAATCCGAAGAACAGATGCGTGCGGCACAGAGAATCCAAGCCGCCCAGCGGGGTCGTCAAGCCCGGCGGCACCTTGAAAGCTTGGAACATGGCTTCTTGTGCTCTGTGTGTGTGCTACATTTCCTTTGTTCGCTATGGAAGCATGGAGGCATGGAGGCGTCGGCTACCACCATGACGACGAGCACTGCCACCATATGCCACCAGTATTAGTTACGGCACTTCCGCGATCCGCGCAACCAACTATCGCAGCCACCACTGCCAGCGCTGCCACGGCGGCGCCAGCACCTCCATGACGACGACGATGGCTGCTGTTGCAACAGCACCAATAACAACTACTAGTACTACTCCTGCTACTCTTGCCGCTGTTACCACAGCCACCACCACGACAGCTAAAACTCCACGACTGCCACCGCTGCTCCTCCTGCTGCTGCGACTGCGACTGCGACTACCGCCACCGCTGCTCCTGTGACTACCACACCCACCCGCCCACCCACCCACCCACCCACCGAGATGCTGTTTTTTGTTCCCTGCTTTTCACCCACGCAGAGACATCATAACTATTGTTCTCAGGAAATTTGAGCCCGAAATGCTTCATGGGAGACGATGGACAGATAGGATAACCCAGCCATCCGTCAACAGACAGCCAAGGCAACATCAGTCCCAGGCTGAGCAGCAGAAAGCCGCCTGTCCCGAAGCTGCGCCGCAAACCGAAGGTCTCAGGCAGAATGCCTCGAGCCCACCCTCCCCAGAGACTCCAGAATCTCTCAACTGATGGGCATCACCAGGTCTGAGGGTGTACTAGGGACAACCATATGATTGTTCGAAGTCTCCACTGTCGCGTAGATCCAAGAATTAATACGGTCCTGGTCCGTGAGAACTTTAGAAGACCTCCCGTTTTCCGCGAAGAGGGATGTTGGAGTCTCCGGGCTGTCACATCTCCCGGAGGACCCAAAGCCCGTAAGCTGGGGTGCCGGGAATGTTTAGGGTTCTAGGGTTTAGGGGTTTTCGGGTTTTAGGGTTTATGTTTTTAGGCTTTGGGGTTTATGTAAGGGTTTCGGATTTTAGGGTTTAGGGTTCTAGGCTTTGGGGTTTAAGGGTTTCGGGTGTAAGTTTTTAGGTTTTGGGACGTTGCCGGTCTTTTGGCATTGCAACAGCTCGCGAAAGCCAGATTAGCACGTCCCCGAAGATGGCTCAGGGCATGGAGTCGGATGCTATGGTCAACTCATCGTGGTGTAGTTCCCCGAAAAAGGCCACCATGTAGCAAAACCCTGGCATGGGCTTGAGTGCGTTGGGCCACGGCCAAGGCTTTGAGCAGAAGAGCTCGAATATAATGTATATTATGGTCTACACATTTACACGCACATATGCCCATATACATATGTCTGTCTGCAAAATATATATATATATATATATATATATATACATATATATATATATATAATGTATTATATATATATATGTATGTATGTATGTATGTATATATGTACACACCGAAGTAACATGTAAATGGAGAAGCTGCACTTGTATGATGTATCGCAACTTAGACCTCAGAAGTCCTTGCTTACAGGGCTTTGGGCTCTCTGGGCTTAGTGAGCCCAGTGCTCCCATGCCACGCTGTACCCAGCCCTGGCCACGGCTTTCCTTCGAAGATGCCAGGCACAAGGAGTGTGCATGAAAAGTGAGATATCGTGCTTAGGTCTCTCCTTTTACAAACCTCAAACCCTAAAACTATATGTCTCAGGGTAGACGAAGGTATGCCTATAGCCCGTAAACCCTGACCCCTTAAACCCTGCTACCCTAGAGACTTATAATGCACCCGAAACCCTAAACCCTAAAAACCCTTGAACCCTGAACCCCGAACCCCAACTGCGTAGAGCCCCATAATGCTTCACTAAACCTGTCCTATACCCTTCCTAAACTCTAAACCCTAACCCAGAGCGCGGACTGCTGTCTCTGGAGAAAAGGAGTTCAAAAAAGTAAACCTACCTCCCCAGAGCCCTTTCAGGCTTCCTAAAGAAGGAGAGCCGTGGTGAACTCCGCCAGAAGAGACCCTAAGGGTCTCTGGCCACGTGCAACAAAAAGCTGAAAGCTGTGGCTTTAGGGCTTAGGTTTAGGTTTTAGGGTTTAGGGTTTAGTTAAGAATAGGTTTATTTTCCTTCTCGCATGGTAGGGAGCAATGTCCACAAGCGAGGTTAGATGGCCCTGCAGTTGAATGCAGACCGGAAAGAATAGGTCTTGAGTTTAGGGTTTCGGATTTGGATTTGCCGGTTGTAGAGTTTCGGGTGTAGAGTTTAGGGCTTTGAGTTCAGGATGTGGATTTCAGGGCTTACAGTTGCAGGTCTAGGGGTTCCGGGTGTAGGGCTGCTTCAGGAAGCTTCCGGTGTTTAGGAGATTGGGAGGAGTGGGGTTCAGGGTCTGAGTGTGCAGGGTTTGGGGCTTACAGCTTAGGGCTGAAGGGTTTCAAGTTCAGGTTCAGCGTCGAAGGACTGGGCTTTTTTGGGGAGTTTGCGAAGGCCTTTCGGGAGGTTGAGTTTTTCTTCGTACGAGTCTGGCTACATCTTGTTTTGAACAGAAAACCATCATTTCCGGAACTTCTTATGCAGGACTGACTTGCTGTTCTGCAGGATGCCCTGATAGGCTTATGGTAGACTATTTCTCCGAAACTTACTAAACTTATTGAGGGCTCCTTTCAGAGCCCATGCCGCAGGAAGCTTTCGTGTGTATCCCCAAACCCTGAACCCGTAGACGACCCTAAGTAGGTAGTTCTCCAAATTAGGTCCCTGTCAAAAGAAGGCGGCTTCCTTGTAGAAGGATTCTAGAAGGGACCCTAGTTTAGAGAATTACCCAAGTAGGGCCTAGCCTTGAAACCTAACCGCCTCATCCCAAGCTGCAAGCATCTCCATGCTTTCGGGTCCAGTTAGCAGCGAACCCCTACCGTTTTAAGGACAGGTCAACATGTAAATGAACATGTACATACACATAGACCATCGAGGCATACGTAACAAGGAACCCAAAAAGTGTAGTTGCAGAAATTGCGAGACCAGATTCTGAGCCCCATACGGGTTTGGGGCTGTTCGGGAAGGGCTGGAAGACCTAGACTAGGCTTTTGAGGTTTGGGGCAGTCGGGACCATTGTGGAGGTCATGGGCCTCGCAACTGAAGGTTCAGGGCTTTTGGGGTCTGAAACTCTTAGAGCTCTGCAAGGCAGGCTTGGTGACTGTGGTGCAAGGCAGCTTGATCGGCCTCCTCCTCAGCTTGTTTGTGGAAGATTCTAGCAGCTGGGACGTTCTTCGATTGGGCAGCCTGAAACTTGATCTAGGGTTCTCGGGTTTCACGTCCCTCCCTGCCTGTCGGCCCACACGCGTACCTTGGTTCCTCCTCCTCTTGCTGCTGCTGCTGCTGCTACTGCCACTGCTGCAGCCGCAGCTTTGCTTCTACTTTTACATGTATCACTAGCTGCTAAACTACCACTGCGACGTCTATGAGAACTGCGATTGCTACAGATCCACGTATGCTGTTATGCTTGTAGATGAGGATGTGGGATGCCTCTTGCAATTGCAAAAGCCATGTAAGAGGTTGCGTAGCACCATCCGCAGAGATGACATTTTTCGACACCAGGGTCATTGTCAGGGTTCTTGGTACAAGAGTGGCAGGCTTCTTATGGGAATCAAAAAAGGGCCTGGTTCGGAGAACGACGCACATGGTCATCATGACTACGGCAGTGGCGACGACGCCTCGATGGACCACACTGACTATTTGCACTATGTACTTGGCAGGGAACTTACGGTACTATGCAGCGCGCATGTTCTTACTACACATCTCTGGCATGTAGATTACCGGTCAATGAAGTTCCTGAATTGATTGTCAAGAACCCTCTCCAACACTTCTGAACCCAGCATGAACCCTTGCGGTAGAAGAAACGATTCAGTCTTTCGGGTTCTGATTTAAGGTATGGGTATACCTTAAGACTTAAGACTCCAAAAGCCATTACCACCTTCTTATCAAAACAAACGTAGCAGTCCGCAAAAAAGCCACACCCAAAACATGTCCTAAACCCTAACTAAGCTTTGACCAAGGCTCGATCCTGTCGAACTTGCTTTTGGTCTTAGGCCAGCGGCCAAGGGTTTCGGGTTCTTGTTAAGGATCGTAACTTAAGTTACCATGCCTGTGAAGTGCTTGGTCGTCCAAGGGCTCCGTTATGGGTGCCTCTGCGGGCACGGGCAATTTAGCGTTTTTGGGTCGGAGGGTTTGTGCCAGAGTTGTTGGCAGATTTTTTGTAAAGACTAGCCTGAATCCCTTAAAGCCCCAGGTTTTGAGGGTTTAACCTGACCAGCCCAGGCTTCTGAATGTTTTTGGGAGCCCTCCGAAACCAATTCCTTTGTTTCACCGGGCCAACTTACGCAATCGAACTTGTATCCCACGATCGAGTCCTTGAATTGAAGTGGTTTGGTGTTCTGAAAGCTGTCAGTTCAGCTTCCCAGAGACTCCAATATCCCTTAAATAAGGAATATTCCTTAGATCATATTAGGGATCCTACTATAATTTAAGGCATATGCCTGGGCATATTGGAGTCTCTGGGTTCCGACACATGAACCCTGGCCTTGGGCACGTCCGCACAGCGAGATTGAGACAGCTCCAGACCTTGCAACCCTGCCTGCTTGGAGGATCATGGGACTTAGTAAGTAGGTTATAAGTGGGGGTATAAGTCCCCTAAGTGGGGTTATCCTAAGTATAACCTTCTTATAACCTTATTTACTAAGTCCCATGAGCCTCCAAGTGCAGCCCGAAAGCCCAAACCCTAAGTCTGAAGCCCGAAGCGCCAAGTCCTGAAAAACAGAACCTCGCAGGTCCTCCTCCATTTGCTTGCTTGGGGTGCCAAGTAGCGGCTACCACGATCGAGGAACAAACACCCTTAAAGCCTTCAGCCACATCTCCCAGACCTTGAAGCTTTACAATGGAGGGGTGTTTTTTTTTACACTTGTTTTTACATTTTTTTGTTTTTTTTGGTGGTGGTCTGCTTGGAGCCTGTCACAGCAGGTGACGAATTGCAGGGCGACAGGCAGGAAGAGGGTGCTATATATTGTATTATATTATATTAAATTACGTTATATTATATGATATGATATTATATTATATTATACTATATTATTTTATATTATGTTATGTTATATTTGTTGTTTGATATTATGTTTGTATAGTATATGCTTTCAT